GGAAAGAGCGCGATGAGAGGAGATGATAGCCTCCTCCAAATTGAATGCTTCCCAGATTAGGCGATTGTTGGCACATAAAGGAGGAAATGAGAGATACGGAAAGATCATAACTTTTCTGACAAATGACGAGATCGCAATTAAAAGGGCTATTTCCAAAGATTTCTTTTAGTCGCACCATACCCACCATCTACATAACAATGGAAGCAATCACAGTGAGAAGGAGGGTTTGGAACATTATTCTGATAAAGCGCTGTTGATTGGGCCTCTGTTTTGGATTTGTTGATCAGGGAGCCCACAAGCAGAAAACACACACACAGACACAGACACTAAAAACTACATTTACAAAAGCGTCTTTGTGTACATTACTAAAATGAGCCCTGAGAGATAACATTGGGAGGCCAGAATCATTTTGGAAAATGGTCTGTTTCAGGCCTGAAAAAGAGTATTATATGTAACATTTCTAACATTGTTCTACATTATAAGAAATACTAAACCATAATAATGAGTCTTTAAAATATAAGCACTCAAGCGCACACACAAAGCTTGCTGCAGCGCACCAGCAAAAGTAATGATTATGAATGTGTTGGGGGGAAAAAAAAGAGAGGAGACTGTCTGGACATTTTATTAATAAACTAGTGTTTTCTTGGTCAGTGTTGGCTGCAAAGATGAAGTTGATGGCGCCAATTCGTCATCTACCCAGTATAATAGATGTGCCTATAGAGAGAAATGCAGGTCAAGTTAAACTTACCGCAGTAAGTGCGGTATTAATTCAGCTTCCGTACTCTGCAAGAACAATTGGATATGTGCCTATTAATAGCAAACATTTATCATTGACGTTAAAGCGAGCGGCCATGTAAACTGGCTAACGTAGGCTACTACAATATGATAATCATTACGAATGATAAGCCATGTTTGAGGTCGATGAATTATAGGCGAACGTTAGGATGTCTTGCCTTACATAATTACCACATAGACCAACCGTATTAACGATCTGTCCATCATGGACTGCGTGACTACTCAATTCATCCTTCGCAGCGAGTTTGACAGACGATCTGACAAATCATAATCGGCCTTCTGCCGAATCCGCTATTTTGTCTGACAAAGCAGTCAGGAGAGTTAGTAGATTATAGTCGGTGGATTTGAACTTGAAAAATGGTGTGTACTGGCTTCTTTCCATGGTTGAAACAACATTCCTTCTGATGTTCATTCATGTTTATTTGATGCTATAAATTAACTTGAATGAAGAGATGATCGGATCACGAGCAGCTTTAACTGAGGTGCTACAGCGATCTGTCATGACACATTAAAGAGCCACAAAACGGTATTTATTGTTTAAATTACTTAAAAAAAATGACCTAATTTGAAAGTTCAGACTTTGTTTCATATTAAACGTAACCTGCTCTGTCCTGTCTTTCGACGCGTTGTCATTGTCCTCTTTGCTACGCGATGTATTTTTCATGATGTGTGGCGTGAGAGCGGAATGGCTTGTCGGACATAGCAACAGTAAAGGGGGCGGGTCTTTGCAAGGTCTTTGCGGGTCTTTCACAACTGACTAATTAACATTTGGTCGACTAAGCCTCTTCTTGTTGACTAATGTTTAGTCGACTATTTGGCGGCAGCCTTGTTTATAAAAAAAAACAGTTAAAACTTGATTGACTCATTTGAGTTCAAGAGTTCCCAGAAGTTCCTGCACAACATTTTACATTACATTTTTGTAGTAAAATACATGTTATTGTATCAAATACTGCTGTTTATCACTGTTTATCAGGGTTTACAATATTAAAAAATATTTTTCAATTACTTTTGTAGTCCTTTGAGATTGCTGGATTTTTAAACATAATTCTACAATGACTTTTTAGAGACTGCAGCCTTAGATTGAATGCATTGCTTTCACTTAAACTGATACTTATTCATCCGAATAGTCTGCGTGCCAATGAAATATTTTATGAAATATTTTAGAGCCGAGCAAAAATAAAAGGACATATATTCACTATAAAAATGATTTTAATATCTTTTCATTCATGGAAATGAATAAAAATAATGACTGATTTATGAATCAGACACCATTGGCGAAGGAGCTAATCAATGATCATGCAGTGGTATATTGAGACACTACCCTGCATACATTTGAGGTTTTTAAAGGTTGTCCAAAATGGAAGGATTTTAATGCTGAGAGCTGTTAGAAATGGATGTTTTGAATAACTGTTTGGAGTTAAAGGTTAGCGAGTTGTCCCTGCTGTTCCCTTGCCCTCTCCTCGGCCCTGCAGCCACTGACCTGCTGAGCAGTGATCTGTGAAATTGCCTCTCTTCGCTGTCATACGTGCAACTATTCACAACCCCCAAGGCAAGAGTACATGCGGCCATATGGACAGTGACATGACTATCAGTTTACCCTTCAAAAATCTGTAAGATGCTTAGTTAAAATTAAAAATTAAGATTTAAGTATAAACCACAGGGGTTTAGTAAATTATTACAAAATAATATCTAACAATATACAAAAGTCACAGTGTAAATATGTCAAATAGCTTGATCAGAAGTTTTACATGTACTTACTGTAGAAATAACAGTAAATTAAGCATAATTACATGCAACTAATCCTAAACCAAACCCTTATCCTAACACTAACCCTATAGTAAGTATTGTTAATTAATATTACTTAGTGTAAATGTATTACACTGTATTTACACTGTAACAAAGAGTCAAATCAAGGATATCTTTTTTTACATGACAAACATCTTGCAGATTCTAAAATTAGTAAACATACGCGGTGTACATTTCTATGCCCTCATGCTTGTTTCTAAGAATGTATCATTTTCCCCTCTACATCTTCCTCTAAACTCTCCTTTACCCTGTCAAAATCAGGCTTTTTTTAGATTCCGAGAGAGGACCGGTCTATTCCATGAAGACAGAGGTCAAAGTGCACCCCAATGTTGAATGCATTACTCTCACTTAAACCGCTACTTTGTTCTTCCAAATAGTGTGCGTGCTCCAAGAGATACTGAACTGAGCTTTAACCCTGAGCCCCTGATATTTGCTCAGAACATAAATACACCACTTATAACTGGAAGACAGGCAATTAGGCAGCGTCTGCCTTTTCAAAATGAAAAGCAAACTCGATTTACAGAGAAAATAGTTCTGTAAACTGCACAAACCAATGCTAACAAAAGGTCAAAATTAGCATTCCGCATTAGAGAGAACAGAGCGAAAAATGAATAAGAAATGTCGAGACTTCTCTGTTCATATGTGCGCTGCTGAATATTTATGACACTTAAAACACATCCAATTAACTATTTAAATGATTAATATTCATGCAGTCATAAATATGCATACTCTCATTGTTGTGCTCTATAGGTAGTGTGGAGAGTCGCAGACGTTGGTTCAGTCATAATGACACTTGAAAGAAAGGGTTTTTGTTTGGCGTCTGGTGAAAGCTGAAGTTCTTCGATAAGCTCTTCCCAATTACTGATGAGATAATGAGACACTTAAAGGTTTCCAACACGCATAACCCAGTGTAAGTCTATCTCTCTCTGCGATTAAGATCCAATTTAGACAACGGCAATAGGCCACAAACATATACGTGCAAAACGGCAGTCAAAGATTGGAGAAACAAACGATAAAAGGAAAAACAAACAAAGAATATAATTCGCAAGAAAGTGGCCTCACATTAAGTTCCCAGATAACAAATTTATGTCCTAAAAAGTATTTCCTTTTGATTGTAAGAATATTAAAATGTCTATTTAAAAAAAGAAAGTGACTATAATGCAATCTAAAAGTTAGTATAACATTCCTGACAACATTCTTTTGCATTAACAACGTTGTAAGAACGTTGATTTGTAATGTCCTTCATGTTGCTGAAACTACTTTAAAAGCCAAACAATATTATCACATTCTATTAACACATTCAAAATACTAGTACAGTAGTATTCATACGTGCAAATGTCACTGACAGTACTCATTTAATTTCATCTAGTTGCCAAGGGAACATTTCTCATTTTCATTTATTTAAATTGATGTACTAAAATAACAAAAACCGAAATAAAAATGAATAAAAAACTATACAGACATATTTTTAAAACGTATAAAAATTGACAAAACACACAACAAAATTACTAAAACTTTAACTAAAAATTTAAACTGAAAATATATAAAAATAAAACTAATTCAAAAATATGTTTAAAAAACTAGAATAGTATCTCAATTGTACTAACACTGGTTCCTATACTTTTACTAGTTTTTTGTAGTTTTTGGCCCAAAGTAAAAAGACCAAAAAAAAAAAAGATAATCTACCAGGTGAAAATCCATTTGCAAAGTAACAGACCTCTTCTCAACAAATTACATAATTGTCCTCGCACAAACAGTGCAGAACGAGTTACGTGCCAATTCGAAAAGACGTTTAACGCTTAGGTTTACTTAATATTATTTTAACGTAATGTTAACGTTCTGCATAACATTCCCTAATGAAAAGTTTCCAAGGAGCCAAACATTCCCTAATGAAAAATAAAGTAAACCGTTAACGGGTACATTTAGAGCAAGAATGTTTAGTCGAGCTTTAACAGAGAATCTAGGCTTGCTCTGCAATACATCTGCTGTAGCGAGCCAATACTCTTGTGTGGTCAGATCCAACTCAACAGATCCATTCAGGTGGAACAGTGGAGCTCTGTTCCTGTCCTCCCCAAGACTGAGCACATCAGTGAGTATACAGCACACCTCCATCTGGCTTTTAATCACAATGCCATGAAAACACTTTGTGACCACTGTGGCGGAAAAAGGTTGTTGGTGTAGTCACAATAATCATTTTTTGTCACACTTGTGCTATTCAACCACGCACTGAGCAATGAACTCAAGTGTGCAATTGAAATCTGAAAGCCCCTTTGAGAACAGCTTATTTTCCCCTCAGTGTTTATAATGCAGTGTATGTTTACCGTACTTAAATGTTTCAGTCGATCATTTTAAAAGCCTTTGGGTGAAGGTGAACACGAAAGAACATGTCAGTCACTTACATCTGGTAACGACTCCCTCCAGTCGGATGATGTTGGGGTGGTCGAACTGTCCCATGATGCTGGCCTCGCTCAGGAAGTCCCGCCTCTGCTTTTCGGAGTATCCTGCTTTCAGACTTTTGATGGCCACGTAGATTTCTCTCTTGCTGGGGAGCTTCAGACGGCCACTGCAAACCTCACCAAACTCACCTAGGGAGCGACACACAGCTTCCATCAGTGTCAGACTATGACAGATTTTTGAAGGAAATATGCATAAATAATAACCTTTGGACACTGATTTTACAACAAAGATATTAATATAACTTGATATTTCTTTATTTTAGTTCAATTTTTCTAATTATTGTTTTTTTTTATCATAAATATAACATTTAAAAAATATTTATACAATTATATTACATAATTTAAGGATGTTTAGATATTTTTTTACTGAGAAGCAAGGGAAAACACTTTATTATTATTAATTTATTTTATTTTATTTCAGCAGACTACATAGCTGCTTACAAAATTGAAATAAATTAACATTCAAATTGAATTGGAAATATTATATCAATCTATGTATCAATCAGTCTCTATCCATCCATCCATCCATCCATCCATCCATCCATCCATCCATCCATCTATCTATCTATCTATCTATCTATCTATCTATCTATCTATCTATCTATCTATCTATCTATCTATCTATCTATCTATCTATCTATCTATCTATCTATCTATCTATCTATCTATCTATCTATCTAATGTCTGTCTGTCTGTCTATCTATCTTATCTGTCATTCCATCCATCCATCCATCTATCTATCTATCTATCTATCTATCTATCTATCTATCTATCTATCTATCTATCTATCTATCTATCTATCTATCTATCTATCTATCTATCTATCTTATGTCTGTCTGTCTTTCTATATATCTATCTATCTGTCATTCTATCCATCTATCCATCCATCTATCTATCTATCTATCTATCTATCTATCTATCTATCTATCTATCTATCTATCTATCTATCTATCTATCTATCTATCTTATGTCTGTCTGTCTTTCTATATATCTATCTATCTGTCATTCTATCCATCTATCTATCTATCTATCTATCTATCTATCTATCTATCTATCTATCTATCTATCTATCTATCTATCTATCTATCTATCTATCTATCTATCTATCTATCTATCTATCAATCTATCTATCTATCTATCTATCTATCTATCTAATGTCTGTCTGTCTGTCTATCTATCTTATCTGTCATTCCATCCATCCATCCATCTATCTATCTATCTATCTATCTATCTATCTATCTATCTATCTATCTATCTATCTATCTATCTATCTATCTATCTATCTATCTATCTATCTATCTATCTATCTATCTATCTATCTAATGTCTGTCTGTCTGTCTATCTATCTTATCTGTCATTCCATCCATCCATCCATCTATCTATCTATCTATCTATCTATCTATCTATCTATCTATCTATCTATCTATCTATCTATCTATCTATCTATCTATCTTTCTATCTTTCTATCTATCTATCTATCTATCTATCTATCTATCTATCTATCTATCTATCTATCTATCTATCTATCTATCTTATGTCTGTCTGTCTTTCTATATATCTATATGTCTGTCATTCTATCCATCTATCTATCCATCACTGCAGAATTTCACTACTGACCAAACAGAATCAAGTTTTCCAGAAAGCTGTGCAGAATGTCAGATGTGTTGAATTGACACAGAGAGAGTTTGGGGGAAGCTGTGCTATGTGGTGGATAACATATCAGACAAACAAGTCTGGGTTAAACGTGTATTCTGTTCTCACACAAAGAATCTAACAACATTTCTAGATGGTATTGTTTAATTCAGATCTCCTAAAGCCCTAAAGAAAGAACTCTGATGAACACTATTGCAGCCAGATGGAGAGAACGAGGAAATGAGACAGAGAAAGAATGAAAGAAGCACAAAGTACACATTATTTTTTTGAAAATGGAGAACAAGACATTCACTCACAGAGAAACCATACGCAGAGGAAAATGAGATTTCAAAGCAAAGTTCAGACGCAGAGATATGCGGTATTAATAGGTCAGTGTTTCAAACAGCAGCTTTGTGTGGGAGGATTACAGTCGGCAGACGTTGTATAATTAGGGCTCAAATACAAATCTCTATTCTTTGACATACATTATCAAAGAACTGCAACTTACGCCCTGAAAACATTCAGAAAAAGGTGTTATGAAGTGAACAAACCCTCGTATGTAAGTAGCGACATTTCTATAATGTATATTTGTGATTCAAAGTGATTTTATTTCCACGATTTGGTCTATAGAAGAGTCAGACTCTCACCTGCACCTATAACTCTCTCTATACGTATATTAGAGGCATCGATTTCCTTGGCAAAATCTCGGACGGCTTGATTTGGGTCCTCATAAGTGTGGGGGTGAATGTACGTCCTGCTTCCTGGCAGTTTCACTGCAATAAGAAGAAGAAGAAAAAAAAAAGATCACATATGTTTTTCACACAGGGATTTTGAGTCCAAATGAAAGCCAAGACACGACTGGACCATAAACCCAAACAGTCTCCTAAAAATGTTGGAAAAGATAAACTCCACAGTGAGGTTGAGCATGAGAGTTTTTGATTTATATCCCACTCTCATAGCTGGAAGAGAGACCTTTTACATTTATGTTACCTCTAAAAACAACCATTTGTTTTGACAATCCATTATGTATGAGTGTTTTGTGTGTTTGTGTGCGAGCTATTTTGGCCACCTTACCTCTCCCGTTCTGAAACTGCATTTTTTCTTCATCTGGATCTTGCTTCGCTTTGATGTAGCCACAATGTCTGAAACACATAAAAAAGATAAAAACATCACCTATAAAAAGGTGTATTTTATAAACCAGCCATAAAATTGCCATTCAGGACTCGAGAGTGAGGAAAAGATTACGATTATTTCCATGCTGCTGAAGGAGATGAAGTTTCCTTCATATAATAGACTCAGCTGTATCATTAATCACTGTTTTCCAGTCTACTTTAAAGTCACCATGAAATCATAATTGAAGATTCTTATATTTTTTTACAGAATGTTGCATTGCTGCTTCCATTTACAGTTAGTAACGCCCAACTTCCTATTGAACCAATCAATTCCCGAAGGACGAAATCAAACCCGCCCAACATTTTTTTTTTCTCATTCCAGAAGCCGCTTCAATCGCATATACATCACAATAGGGAAGAAAATACTATCAAAACTTCCCTTTCATGCTGACTTGAATGCGTTTGAATGAGTATGTCACCTAAAACATGAATACAAGCGTTAAAGAGTTTGAATAAGTGTATGCCCTGATAAAAGTTTGTCTTTGCATGTATATGTGTGTGTGTGTGTGTGTTGAGCACACTAGCACATCTGTGAGTAGTCTCCGAGGGCACGTTGGAATGTCTAAAAATACCCACTGGTGTTCTGGGTCTCCGTGGGTATGATTCTGAAACCGTCTGCCTTCGCCTGCAGCAATATAGTGCAACATACCCAGTATAAAAGCTCCTGGAACATTTTAAACATCGCAGTCATTTGTCAACTAATTGCATTTGCAGTTTACGCAAAAAAAAAAAGTTCCCTGAAGTGTGTTTCCTGAAGGCACATCGTAATGAAATTATAATAGCAGTTTCACATTTTTAAGTGAACAAGTTTACCTTTTTATACAATCCTTGCTTAAGATAATCGTAAACATGTTTGACTCGGTGTCTGTGATTGAAACTTGAAAATGAGACTAAACACAAGCTCAAAATTCCCTTGTGAAATCAGGAGGCTTATATTTAATATAGAATAAAAATAAAGGGGTGGTCGAGTTGTTACAGGATTGATGTAGTAAATAAATAAATACAAATAAGGTGCCAGTAATTAAAGTAATAAAATAGTTGAATTAATTAATACATTTAATTAAAAAGGTTTTTAAAAATCATTCAAGATAGCATTTTTTATATATGGTTACTTCCTTCCTATGGTTCCTATATAAATCATTCACCTTTCAATTAGTTAGGAGAAATTCTTTGAAAATTGCTGCTGGAGGTGTTGCCAATAAGTACGCCGAATGAGCTGACTTGCCTTTGAGTGTGTCTAGAAACCCATTTATTTTCCTCCGTACCTTACAGCAGGTCATGAGGATGCTTGACTGAAGATCTTCTTGAACTGAATCAGCCTCCGCATCTTCCCACATGTAACTGCCTAATCTTTTATGCTCCTTTGCAAACAGCATTACGCTTTAATGAGAGAAGCTATGAGGGAATTACATTTCCTTTCTTCAGGTTCTCTTCTCCCCTGTTCCTGAGCCTAAACTCCCCTTGGTAATTTGTCTCAAAGTAAGAATCACTCATGACAGCTAATCTGAGACGGAAATGTAGAACTCTCTCATTACAATCAAGGACTAGTACATTTTAAAATCATATTTTGATTATAATTGGTTTGGGGCGAGTTCCAAGGCTCCCGTAATAAGCGTGCTCTCCGTTCGGCACGGCGAGGGAGCGGCCGAGCCTGTGATAAGAGTCGGCAGAAGGGAGACAGATGAGCTGGAGGCTTCTGGCTTTTAATTTGGCAGTAATGATGAGGAGAGGGGCCGCCCATGCCAGGGTCACAGGAGCCCAGCCATGGCCAGTTGGCAGGCTGAAGCTGCGATTGCGTGGCAGAGAAGAGTTTGAATGATTCTGTCTTTGGCAAGCACACCTCACACACACACACACACACACACACACACACACACGTGTATACACCACATAGTGAAGTCGTTTCCCAGTGTTCATCATGCTCCATCACTTCCGTTTGATGCTGATTTTATTTGGCTGAATCAAACACAAGCTTGTCATCATGTAAACGCCACTAATTGGCTGGACGGATGGATCCCCCTGTGCGTGTGTGTGTGTGTGTGTGACTGTGGAAACCTCAACTCTTCTTGTCATTGTCAAGGAGAACGAAGAAAAAAAAGAAGACAAATGTGCCAAATAAACAAGAACGGTAGGTGAAGGTCATCAAAACAAGAAAACACGCCATTCATTAAGATCGTAACTTTCTCATGTTGTTTTATGAATGCAATCTGACAAATGTGAAAATATCAGCAAATATAACAGCAGTTTATTATGATAGCACTCAGCTATGCTGTCAGGAATGTGACAAGTGCACACCAAAATACTGTGTGTGTGTGTGTGTGTTGTGACAATGATTTTGCATTTGTTTTTCTAATGTTTTGTTAGGCTGATTTTAATCCAATACCATCATCCATTTACAGAGATGCTTAAAAGTACAACAGTTACATCTGCAGCAATCTAACATCTTACTTTCGGAAATACAGGTATTATTTTGTCATGTAATTTTATAGTTTGTCATGAGTTTAGATAAATAGATATTAGATGAATGAATACGTGATAGAGAGACAGACATTGGATATATATATATATATGGATGGATGGATGGATGGATGGGTGGGTGGGTGGATGGATGGATGGATGGATGGATGGATGGATGGATGGGTGGGTGGATGGATGGATGGATGGGTGGATGGGTGGGTAGGTGGGTTGGTGGATGGATGGATGGATAGATAGATAGATAGATGGATAGATGGATGGATTAGATGAAAATGTGCGGATTCTATGCTGCATACGTCAATGGGAAACATACATTTCCATTACGTAGTGTGTATGCGGATATTGAGGAGCACAAATCTTCTGAATCTGTTCTCACTGTACGTCTGTATGGCTGACAGGCCTCTCAGGAATCTAATGAGAAAAAGAGCATCTTGTATTGACAAAACGTCTCTCCTTGACGAACAAAGCAGTGAGCATCATCCTGATGAACGACTCCAATCTTCCAGTGTTCCTCCAATAAATGAGCTAGTGCTGCTTGCTTTTGTTCAGCATGGTCTCTGCTCTCTCAGTACGGCCTGAACACCATGAGGACAAATCACTTTGTGTTGCCTAATGCACTCTCGCTCTCTTTCTCCAGAACATTCTGCCCCACAGAGGAGACAGATATGAGATATTCGGTTTGCCGGGGCCTGCTATTGTACTCTGCTGACAGGAGGGGAAAAAAGCTGTTCTCGCTCTATGTGAAGGTCTAGCATATTTCAGGTTCATATTTCCTTATTCTCTGAGTCGCGCACTCAATTTACATATCAATTTACCTTCCTGGTCTAATATGCCGTCACATGAGCACCGTTTTTCACGACGGCTGTCCTGCAGACCATACCATTGCTTCTATAAAGAATAGTTCACCTAAATATGCTAATTCTGTCATCATTTATTCTCCCTAATGTAATTCCAAACCAGTATGACTGTCTTTCTTCCATGAGGCACAAAAAAATATTTTTTAAATAATATTCCAGCCAAAATACACCAAAAAAATAAAAAATAAAATCGGCCCATTCAAATCACTCTCCTGAAGCTATTCAATTGCTTTGTGTGATGAACATATCAAAATGATGTTGTCAAAATCTGGACATCCAACCAAGCTCTCATTGACATGTTCACAAGAGTTCATATTAGAAGTAAGAATATCAGAATAATGAACAAATCATTTTTTTTTTTTGATAATGGATCTTTTCCAGAGGTGTAAAAGAGTACCTGAAAACCATACTTGAGTAAAAGTACAGATACCTTGCATTGAAAACAACTACATTACAAGTTACAAGTCACCAATTCCAATATGATTTGAGTAAAAAGAGTATTTGATTTTAACAGCACTTAAGCATTTTACTCATCCTGAATGTAAGGTCAAATATGCACTAGTCCTCAACACCTAAAGGTGATGATACACAGGGCAACATTTTGAGCAATGTTGCTGGGCAATGTTGCCGTCAACGGGCAACAGATGAGACACAGGGCCCACGACCGATCTGAATTATCCAGATAGAAATGTATTGCCCATTTTCAATGGGAAAGTGCCCAAGCAACAATCGCTCGGCAAGATTGCCCAGCAACATTGCTCAAAAAGTTGCCCTGTGTATCATCACCTTAAGAGACATACCAGCGAAAATAAGAAACAGTTGATATTTTCTAAAATCAAAATAAAACTGCACACCTCAAAATTGCAATAAACCAAGGAAGACACAACAGCCTCAGTCAAGCTCAAGTGCATAAGTAAACCAACATCCTTCACAATGGTCTTGTCAATATAGCAGATAAATAAAATAATGTTAAGTGAAATTAAATAATCAAAGTCTACTTGCACTGGATGTTCTGGTTTCGGTCTCATCAGCGGCTGCAGTCATGACTTCATCTCCTAAATCAAACTCCTGCGATTCAGCAACTACCTGCTAATGCACTTACATTCACGTAAAGTAGCCTTGTTGACAAGTTTGGGTGAGTAAAGGCAAAATGCATAAGATATAGTACCGTCAATGCCCTTAGATGGCAATATCACTTCTTTATAGCAGAAACAAGTTAAAGTTGGGTGCCATGCAAAAAATTCCTCAGTTGTACCCACACTCACGCACATCATAAACACCTCTCTTCACACTGGTACCTTTCCCACAGCTTTTAAGCAGGCTCGAGTTACCCCACTGCTTAAGAAACCCAATCTAAATCCAGCACATCTAACAAGTTACAGACCGGTATCTCTTCTTCCATTTGTCGCGAAAACACTTGAACGAGTTGTTTTCAACCAGATCTCCTCCTTTCTTACACAGAACAACCTCTTGGACGACAATCAGTCTGGTTTCAAAAGCGGACACTCAACTGAGACTGCCCTGCTCTCAGTAATTGAAGCTCTGAGACTGGCAAGAGCAGCTTCCAAATCCTCAGTCCTCATCCTGCTGGATCTGTCTGCTGCTTTTGACACAGTTAACCACCAGATCCTCCTGTCAATCCTAAAGATGAAGGGCATTTCGGGAACTGCACTCCAATGGTTCGAGTCTTACCTCTCAGGTAGGTCCTTTAGGGTGTCGTGGAGAGGTGTGGCATCTAAGACCCAACATCTAGCTACTGGGGTGCCTCAGGGCTCAGTGCTTGGACCACTCCTCTTCTCCATCTACATGACATCACTAGGATCTGTGATTCAGAAACATGGCTTTTCC